TTCATCAAAAAGGTGATTTTTCGGTTTGGCTTTCCTCATAGCATTATAACTGATAATGGAACTAATCTATCCAAAGGTGCTATGAAAGAGTTCTATCAACGGGAGCATATTTGTCTTGATGTATCATCCGTGGCTCACCCCCAGTCCAATGGCCAAGCTGAAAGAGCCAATCAAGAGATTTTGAGAGGCATCAAGCCCCGACTTATGGTCCCTTTGCAGAGGACGCAGGTTGTTGAGTGGAGGAATTGCCCCCAGTGCTATGGAGTATCAATACTACCCCCAACAGATCTACTGGCTACACGCCTTTCTTCATGGTTTACGGAGCAGAGGTGGTTCTCCCTAGTGACATCCATCATGATTCGCCCCGTGTGGCGGCTTAAGTTGAAGATGATAATGAAAAAGCATGTCAGGATGCTCTTAACCTGTTGGATGAGGAGCGTGACCGTGCGGCGGCTCGATCGGCGATTTACCAGCAAGACCCACGTCATTATCATAGCCGCCGGGTTAAAACCAGGACCTTTCAAGAAAGAGATTTGGTGCTCCGGCTCATCCATGATCAAACTGACATGCACAAGCTATCCCCACCTTGGGAAGGACCCTTTGTGGTCAGCAAAAATCTCTCCCTAATCTATCCCTAATAATAAAGCATGGATTGACTCCGTGGGTTCACCGTCACAATACGCTTTCTTCTTATGTCATAATACGCTTTTACAATTTATATGGACAAAATTGTAATATAAACGAGGTGGTACTATTTCGGGGTCCAAATCGGCCGGACCTCCTGCACCTCGCCTCGCTGCCGGCGACTGGACCCTTGCCGGACCATGCCTCTCTCCCCCCTTCCTTCTTCTCTCTTCCTCACATCTCCCTCTCTTCAGGATGCCAGGAGCTCCACAGCCGCCGCCACGAGTCGTCCGTGCTCGAATCCGGCGAGATCCGGCCGCGAGCAACCCATCCCCAATGCTCCCGCGCTAGATCTGCACTGCCCTCGCCATCCCCGACGGAGTTTGCCTCCAGCGCCGTTGTAAACCACCTCCTACCTCTGCCCTCGTTCACGGCTCCCCTCCAGCAACTGGTCGGGACCTCGCGGGAGGCAGAGGATGGGGTGCAGCGCTTGCATTCGGCTCCGGAGCTTGAGTGGGCCGATCAACGCAGAGGCAGAGTATGGGATGGTGTGCTGTGCTCGAGACGAGGGGGCTCGAGTAAGGGGATTGGAGGGTGGCGCCGGCGGGATCGCGGACGGGGATGGAGAGGGCTCATGGTAATAGTTTCAATTTTTGTCATACAAGTAACAAATTAGTTCCAATAACTATAGTAAAAATATATTCAACATCTAAAGCAGTGGGTATTAAATACTGCATGCATGGTCCAGTAGACACAAACTCCCTAGAGCTTCATATATATGCACATAAAATCCCAATCACACATATGTAGATCTTCAATTGTAATTAGCATTCACGATCCTGGGGTAGGTGGGGAAGCATCCCTGTCACATACTTCCTCAGTAGTCATTAGACTAAATCAGTGAATCTTTTTTATTGAAATGCATACATACCTTTTAAGCAACTCTGAACAAAGAAAAAAGAACTGCTTCATGTCATGCGTGGGATGGTTAAAAGTAGAAGCTTAATTGAACCATTGGAGTCATAGGCTCCTAGTCACGCCGAGGCTGCCATCTAGCGAGCAATGCAGTTGGCACCTTCTCTGCAGATGGACGAAGGTTATGCATGAAGTTTGAAGTGGGAGGACGGAGGTCCAGCAACTCTAGGCGTGTGGAGATCGGCATCTAGCCTGCCTAGCGGATCCATATGTGTGTCCGTGAGAGGCAACGGGACAACACTTAGTAGCAATCTTTGTACGTTGCAACTTTCAAGCTAACATCCTTCTCAAAATCCATCAACCTGCTTGCTCCAGTTGTGCGTGGACCGATTGATCCAGGCCGGGAACAGATCGCCAATGGGGTTGACCGTATCGGTCTCCCAGCGAGAGAGCTGCGTCTCCTGTCCGTCGGGGCGGTAGACTGGGAGATCACCCGTGAGCTCCCGCTAGCACCAGCAAGACCGTAGCATGCAGATCCTAATTCACCTGCAAGCTTCACAATAAAAATCAATTCACAACAGGTGGTTTGACTCCTGAAAATATATTCACAAAATAAAAGTGCACTAATGTAACACCAAAATCAAATCCGCTTCAACTCCTAAGACCAAAATTCAGAAGGCACTGGAATTAACAGTTCCAGAAATCCGTAAAAGCCTGCATCACTCTACCATGCCATGGCTCATGAACACAAAGTTGTTTGGATTGGAGGTGGGCTTACCAAGCTGAAATGCAGTCTGGGAGATGAGAGCAATGCATCTCAGAGAAAGAAGTACAAGAGCCTCATGTATGCAAGAGTGGTCTCCTTACATTGGGCAAAGAGAATGCATGTGTCATCAAAACTCAAGCAATGGCTAATGATTCCACCAAAAAACATATTTAGTTTGCAACAAACTGTAGCTGTGTGTAGATATTATGCCGGTGGTTGCTGGGCCGATCGTTGTCCAGCTTTGCTCTTGTTCCTAGTTGTTGTGTCAGGCAACGTACGGCATAGCCTTCTCTGCATATTCCTCAAGCTCCTACTCCCTGAATAACCAACAATTAGCATTGTTTTATGTACTGATTAAAGGAAAATCGTTGTTTCGAAGATTTATCTACAACTTTAAGCTACTTAATAATGACACTGGTCTGCACAATATCTAGATTTAGAGAGCAATGCTGAACCCTGTTACAAAATTCAGATCGGTTTTAGACTGAACCAACCCTAAAATAGTTGTTTCTGAAGATTTACCTTCAACTTTAAGGTAAGTAAGGACACTGACCTACAAAATGTATATATATAGATCGAGACAGCAAAGCCTCATATACAAAATTCTGCTGGGGCCTGTCATGGCGCACCGCCGCCAGTTTCATCCCTTGCGCACGGCTTCCTACCTCGCTGCACCGTGTTGTGGACAACGACGTCGTTGCCTCCTGCTCTCTTTTGCAAATCGCCACCAATGAATAGATAACAATGCAGATTGACCTCTCAAATCGAAGAAGGATAGCAAATTATATCAATCAATGGATGGATCTGATTTTCATTGCACAAATCAAATAGACCTTGGCTATAAATTCTGAAAAATCACACAAAATTGTCCGTTAAATACAGCTAAAAAATCCCTTCGTTCTGAGATCCTCTCCTTTTACGCTAGAAAATTTTCTCTTCTATTTTCTGTCAAATCTGTCGCTCCTTATCCATGCACAACAAAACAACAGCGAGATGCAGGCGAGGACGACGGCGTCTTCATGGACGCAGGGAGGTGCGGCTAGGGGGAGGAGGTGCGCGGGGTAGGGAGAGTGGCAGCTGGGCAACCCCCATCGTGTAGCGGGAAGGAGAGGAATCCGAAAATCAAACCTGGAGCCACCGCCGGACCAGCAGCAGGAAGCCGCGCCGTCCCTACTCTGCCTTCTCTTCTCTCCATCTCACCTCCTCTTTCCCTCCTCTCTTCTTCCCAGGAGACCGAGCAGCCATGGCCATGGAGCATCGCCACCGCATTGGATCCCGACCTGAGCCACCTCGCCCCGACGTCCGCCACTTTCCCACCGTTCCCCGAGCCCTGCCGCCGTCGTCCTGCATCTCGATCGGATCGGGAGCGCCGCCGCTTGATCTGATGCGTGCACGGGGGTTTGACGAAAAAGTATCGAACCGTTTTTGTTCACTTACCGAAGATTACGGGTTAAATTAGCCAAAATACATGACTTTTAGTATCACCTTGAATATGTTTTAAAATTCAAACTGAAAGCGTAATTAGGGATAGATAAAGCATGAATTGAGTCTTCGAGTTCACCGTCGCGGGGTTTTTGCCAAAAAGTCGTCGCTTTTTTTGATAATTTGACCCGCAATCCTCCTAACAAGTCAACCTGAACCCGGAAAAAATAGAACCCACACGACGACTTAGGTCATATCTCCGCCTCGAGCGCATCTCCACGATCCAGTGCGCCCCTCCACCGCCAGCACCGGCCACCGCCCCTCCGCCGTGCGCCGCCCCCAACCCTGCGGCTTCAGTAGATCCGCACCACCGCCGCCCTTCCTCTCCACCGTCGCCCGCGCCCGCCCGCGGTCATCCATCACCGCGTTCTTAATGGCTTCAGTGACCACGGCGCCTCGGCTGCGACCCTGGCCTGCTTGACCGCCGGATGGATGGATACCGACCGAGCTCATCCTTGGCGCTCCGGCTGCGACCCATGGTTGATTGGCCGCCGGCTGGAAGGGGACGTCTCCTCCCGACTAAGCTTGATGTGGGGCGGTGGACTGACAGCCTGGTGTGTGCGGCCTGCGGACGGCACCCACTAAATGATGCATCTTCTCTTGTCGTCGTCATGCTCTCTGCCCTTAATTTGTTATCCTATCTCTCTGATTGTTGGCTACATGCACAGGTGTTTGAGGCAGCAGCGCACAAGCGGTGACTTGCATCCAGTAGGAGGCAGCAAGAAGCAGCAACGACTCTGAGTTAGGTGCTAGCAATGCACCCCCTCCCCATTCATCTACGTAAATGGATTTTCAACGGCCAAACTACCCTCTTGATTCTTTCTTTAGTGTTTTCAGTTTTTACTAACAATCCATATTTGGTAAACCGTGAAATCTGTTCAGAAGCATCTGCCAACAACCTGTTTGATGTTATGCATACCATGGATTGAGATACAGTCTAATTTTCAGGTCAAACTCTTACCTCCGTTTAGAAAACCAATATGAAGAAATAGGTGTAACCTAGCCTAGCCTGACGCAGGACGCGATGTACGCCGGCACGCACACGGCAAGGTGACCCCAGCTGAAAACGTGGAGAGGGGGTCGTTCCGGGGAAGCGTAGGGAGGCGGTTGTTCCGGCGGCGGCGGCTTCCTATGGCACTGGGTCCAACTGAGGGAGAGGGAGAGGCATGAGATTGCTGTGTCGCCCGAGCTGAAGGGCGCTCACGCATCGTATATGTCCAGATTAGCAAGAAATCACTCAAAACTAATGTGTACTATATGTTATATTCTGATCTATCTATGCATACGCCCTGTATGGGTGAGGAGCTGCACCTTTCCAAATTTTACATGGCCAAAGTTCTGCAGGTGTATGGGGTTTCTTCAGGACCAACAGCGTGGATGTTCAGGTATGGTTTTCTTCAGGACCATCCAAATTCAGGCAAATATGTATGCATGCAGAGAACCACCATATTAAGATGTGTGTGTCTATTCTTCAGGCGAGATAGCCATGATGGGAACACGATTCATATGCTTCAGTTCCATCCATGCTCAGGCCAATATGCAAATTGCTGGTGGAGGACAACAGGGTCGACGAGATGCACAATTCCTATGCTTCAGGCGACACAGCCATGATGGGAACACGACTCATATTCTTCAGTCTCTATTTCGACTAAGCTGTGATTAGAGTTATACACTGCTTCCTTCCTGAAGTGACGAGAGATGTCAGTTATATACAGAGAAGCTTGAGTGGATGTGCGTTTGGGATTATACAATTTAAAGGCCACTTTATTTTTTGCTTTTAGTGTATGGACCTGGAGGTTCTACCTAATAGTAGTAGCTTATTGACTTCTGAAAGCAATATAAGCCCAATAGTCTTTGCAAAATAAAAAACGCCAACTACTGGTTTTATAGCCAGTTAGACCGTATAATCACACTAATCTTTTCTTTTATTGGGTTGAACTCCAGTTATTTTGTAATTACTACATTAACAAACTGTTCTTCACATTCGGTTGTGATTTGGTTTCAAAAGTTCATTTTTACATTAATTTCGTCTCAATGTTATGGTAGGCATTTGTATCGTTATGATTATTTTTTATTTCCTTCCTCACCAGCTTCCTGCTGTACTGCCCATGATTTTCTTCATGCATGCATCAACATTATCTTGGTTCCCTGTAGTTGCTTACTGAAATGCTTCTAATACACGATATTCACTCGCAAGTTGCATGATGGAATGCCCATATCAGCTATTTAGCAACGGGATGTGGGTAATTCATGTTATCATTAATATAGTTGTTACTTCAATATTAGTATGAAACAGCGTTATGCAATCCAATTCTCTCTCCAGGATCCAATAGCCAAATTCAAGCATTTTATTTTTATTTTTTATAGATGTCCTACCAATTCTATTCTGTATAAATTCTTTAGTCTATGATTTTTGTCCAGGATCGAAAGGGTTTAGGCTTAGTAGAACTAAAACCGAGTACATGATGTGCGGTTTCAGTACTACTAGCTGTGAGGAGGAGGAGGTTAGCCTTGATGGCCAGGTGGTACCTCGGAAGGACACCTTTCGGTATCTGGGGTCAATGTTGCAGGAGGATGGGGGTATTGATGAAGATGTGAACCATCGAATCAAAGCCGGATGGATGAAGTGGCGCCAAGCTTCTGGCATTCTCTGTGACAAGAGAGTGCCACAAAAGCTAAAAGGCAAGTTCTACAGGACGGCGGTTCGACCCGCAATGTTGTATGGCGCGGAGTGTTGGCCGACTAAAAGGCGACATGTTCAACAGTTAGGTGTGGCGGAGATGCGTATGTTGAGATGGATGTGTGGCCACACGAGGAAGGATCGAGTCCGGAATGATGATATACGAGATAGAGTTGGGGTAGCACCAATTGAGGAGAAGCTTGTCCAACATCGTTTGAGATGGTTTGGGCATATTCAGCGCAGGCCTCCAGAAGCTCCAGTGCATAGCGGACGGCTAAAGCGTGCGGAGAATGTCAAGAAAGGGCGCGGTCGATCGATTTTGACATGGGAGGAGTCCGTTAAGAGAGACCTGAAGGATTGGAGTATCGACAAAGAGCTAGCTATGGACAGGGGTGCGTGGAAGCTTGCTATCCATGTGCCAGAGCCATGAGTTGGTTGCGAGATCTTATGGGTTTCACCTCTAGCCTACCCCAACTTGTTTGGGACTAAAGGCTTTGTTGTTGTTTGTTGTTGTTATGATTTTTGTCAGTGATTGTTGCTTGCAGGCAATTTCGGAAAACCTGAAATTATCGAACATGCATGCAGGCATCAATTCTGTTTGTTGTTCAAATTGTTCAAATAAGAAAATCGGAACATGTACTCTTAGTTTTTTTTTAGATTGCAATTAAGGTATACACCCACCACACGCACATGAGGCACCACAAGCCACCGCCTTAAGACATGTATTGAACAATTAAGACCTGGGATAAATTTGCCTCTTTAAATTATCTGATCTTAGAGAATATTCATGTATTTGTTCGGATAAACCATATCCATAGTGATCATTTCATGCCTGTTGATATTTATTTTCGTTTCCTGGTGTGCAATTTATTCAGATGGACTCCAACTAATTAGAGTATCATGCAACAGTGACCATTGATGATTTCGGCAAAAGCAATTTGCTATCTGGAGTGTGAGACCCAGGTGTACTATTGTTTCCATATCCTCTATTTTTCTTTTTTGCAAGTCATTAACATTTTCCCCGATTTTTTTTCTTATTTTGAAATTTATTTAATCCCCTGGGAACTTATTTCAGTGACATCAATTGACCTTCTGATTACAATAACTTTGAGTGAAAAGATACACTTCACGTATATACATATTTGTTCTAACTTTGCATTCTGATGAATATTTAGCTGCATATAATTACATTCAGAAAATGAGAAATGTATTGATAGGCAGCTGCAATGTTTATTATAATCGACTACAATAAAATATGGTAGAACGATGTGCATAATTTGTAATCTCGCTATAAATATAACTGACATATTTCTTAGAAAGACATAGGTTTGCCATATTTATTTTATAAGATGTTATTTATCTTAATTGTGAAAAAAGCAACAACGGCAACATAAAGTTGATGTGACATATGTGCAGAAACATCATGCTTTGACATAGCCACACCGACATGAGAGTAACTAAAAATCTTCTTCACATGAGTAATCAGAAGAAAAAAACTATCAGAAGATTATGCTAAAATTGGTTCTGGTGCATATTTTGTTTTTTCAGAAAAATATCATAGCTATGAATTTCAAAAACAAAAATTGATTACTACTCTCTCTGTTCCATAATTCTTGTCGTAGTTTTAGGTCAAATTTGAATCAAAACCATGAAAAGAAGTATGGAAAGTAGATGGTACTTATATCCTAGCCCATGCAAGTGCACAAGTTGAATTTTAAACATTCTCTTGCGCTGGTATGGTTCAATGACACTTCAGTTCATCGCATTGGGACTCGCCATGTGTCGGGCGTGTGTGTGATTTGGTGAACATCTCTCATGAAAAAATGAGATTAGCTGAACACCGAGGCAAAAATGAGAGTAGGTGAAAACTGGGGCCATCGTTGGCGAAGGCGGGAAGGAGGATTAGGGCCAATGACACTTCAGTTCATCGCATTCTCTTGCGCTGGTATGGTTCAATGACACTTCAGTTCATCACATTGGGACTCGCCATGTGTCGGGCGTGTGTGTGATTTGGTGAACATCTCCCATGAAAAAATGAGATTAGCTGAACACCGAGGCAAAAATGAGAGTAGGTGAAAACTGGGGCCATCGTTGGCGAAGGCGGGAAGGAGGATTAGGGCCACATGGGTGAGGTGTCATGTTGAAACACAAAAGAAGGGCCACATGGGTGAGGTGTCATGTTGAAACACAAAAGATGGCAGAAAGGGAGAACTTGAGCCATGCCTATATGAATACTCCTGTGCAAAGTCTTTTTTCTCCCGTTGCATCGCACGGGCCTTTTTGCTAGTCTAAACAATGGGTCATACTACCTTATCAATGTTTGAGACCACAAGGACTCACGCACGTCGGAGGAGGAGACCCGCCGGCCGTGGAATATTGCTCATCTTCGGCCTTATTACACCTGAGCCACCGGCTCTTGTGATGTACATATTTCTATCAATGTATATATTATGATGGATATAATAAAGCCATCCTTGAAAAATTCAGGGCCTTTGTCGTTTCATCTTTGAGAAAAATGTGTCTTTATTGTCACTTCATATGATCACTTGGGGGCTTCCTGCTCATTGAGCATAGCTATGATTACCCTCTTGATCCGGCTTGTACGCCATGATTACCAAATACTTGGGGGCTTCCTGCTCATTGAGCATAGCTATGGTTACCCGACCAATCCGGCTTATACGCCTGGAATCAAATATTATTTGGGGGCTCCTTGTTAATGAACAGAGCTTTGTTGACCCTTGTAATAGGCTTGGACGCCAGGTGTATTCATCAAAAAATCCAGGCTATCCTGCCTTTGTATGCCTGCCACTCCGACCAGGTAATCCTGGAATGACTCGTTGTACTCTTGACAATCAATCTTCTAAAAAGACCCCGAGTTTGTCTAAGTTAAAATGGTGATTGGTCATGTGAGGTCCGGCTTACGGGTTTGAATTAAGGTTTAACTCAGCGGCTGCGTGGCCCTTGAATAATGCTAGATATGCAGGCTTAGCAGCCTATGAATGCCTTGTTTTTTGTTTTTTGGTCTTTATTTGATTTTTTGAGATTGATCTTTTGTTCCGTGTTGATACATGGTTTAAAATTGATAAAGGCCATGATCGCCTTATGGTTCATATAAGAATCTATTCGGAGTTTTGTTAAACCCGACCTGGCTTTGGACTTTAAGTCGCCATTGTAAGATGATTGTGTGCTTGGAGTACTGGCTCTAAGCTTTGGGATGTTACCCCTTCCTGCATATGGCGTTTGTAAGCCGACGGTATGAATAAATTGAACATGGCGTAGTGCTCTCAATCTTTGGGTTGTAACCCTTACTGCACGACGTATGATAAGCCGACAGTGTGAACAATTATCACAGCTATGATATTTATTTTGTTGTGATTATATGAGGTTTTGATAAACCGGTCCTGATTATGGACTATTTAGTCATCAGTGGTTTTTTATGTGGGGTATTATGACCTGCCCTGGGGTAAGCCACCAGGGCACTTGTTATCTGCTCATGTGCAGGAAAAGATGATAAGCATGGTCTGCATAATTAATGATATTATAAGTACAAGTGGCAGATCTTCAACTCATGGATCAGCGGTGTTATGAAAACAAAACGTGCACGATGGCACGACAGATTAGGGTTTAACTAGCCTATTACATGTCTCCGTGAGTCCAAATGATTAAGTGTTTTTCAGGCAATGCCCGTTGACGCAAATTATGAGCCGTCTAGTGGATCAGTTCTCCTGGTCTTGGCGGCTTGAAGCTTCCGGGTCATCCCGTGCCGGTTCTTCTTCTCCCTCCATCGTCTGGAAGTTAGGCGATGACCAACTGATGCCAGTCAAGGCTTGAAATTCAGCTTCATCATCGATAAGCTCAGACGGATCGATTTTAGGGGCAAAAGTATGCTTACAAATTGGAGGGATAAGGTCTGCAATCTTGTAAGCTTGCGTGGGCATTTTTTGGTTCTCCGCGGTATAAGCCGCCTGATATTTGGACAGATA